TAATAATAAAGAGGGAGGAGAAGGAGAAGGAGAAGGAGAAGGAGAAGGAGAAGGAGAAGGAGAAGGAGAAGGAGAAGGAGAAGGAGAAGGAGAAGGAGAAGGAGAAGGAGAAGGAGAAGGAGAAGGAGAAGGAAGGAAGAGAAAGGAGAAAGAAGGAGAAAGAGGAGGAGAAGGATGAGAAGAAGGAGGAGAAGAGGAGGAAGAAAGAGAAGAAAAAGAAGAAGAAGAAGAAGAAAATGAAGAAGAGGAGGAGGAAAGAGAAGAAAAAGAAGAAGAAAGAAGAGGGACAAGAAGAGAAGAAGAAGAGGAGGAGAAGAAGGAGAAGAACAAAAAAAAAGAAGAGGAACAAGAAGAAGAGGAGGAGGAATAAGGAGAAGAAGAAAAAGTTGAAGACAGAAGAAGAACAAGGAGAAGAAGAAGAGGAGGAGGAGGAGGAAGAAAGAGAAGAAAGAAGAGGAACAAGAAGAATAAGAAGAGGAGGAGGAGGAGAAAGAAAGAGAAGCAAGAAGAGGAACAAGAAGGAGAAGAAGAAGAAGAGGAGGAAGAAAGAGAAGAAGAAAGAAGAGGAACAAGAAAGAGAAGAAGAAAGAAGAGGAACAAGAAGGAGAAGAAGAAGAAGAGGAGGAGGAAGAAGGAGGAGGAGGAGAGGAACAAGAAGGAGAAGAAAGAAGAGGAACAACAAGAAGAAAGAAGAGGAACAACAAGAAGAAAGAAGAGGAACAAGAAGGAGAAGAAGAAGAAGAGGAGGAGGAAGAAAGAGAAGAAGAAAGAAGAGGAACAAGAAGGAGAAGAAGAAAAACAAGGAGAGGAAGAAGGAGGAGGAGGAGAGGAACAAGAAGGAGAAGACTCGTCTCCTCCTCAGGCTCCGTTGGAGCCCAGAACAACCAGCGCGGCGAGAGGGGAGTGGGACAGAGAAGCCAGAGGAGGCTTTGCACGCCCGCGCACGCCCGTGCACACTCGTGTGCAAGCCGGGCTGGGTGCCGGCCGCGCTGCCCAGTCTCCCCTCGGGGTATGTACAGGGGTGGGAGCCAGGAAAGCATCGACCACCTACGCACACCAGCGGCGGGGGCTGGAAAAGTGGGGTACAGCTGGGACACGGGGGGTACCCAGGATGTGGCAGGCCCCCACCCGGCTCCATCGGCACCAACGAGACCCCCCCACACCCCCCCACCAATCCCCAGGGCACCCCCTGGATTGTCACTGGGCTGGGAGCGGTGGTGCCCGTTGGCACGGTGGTGGCATCACGCCGGGGATGGAGCCACCTTCCTCCTCTTGCAGTTTGGGGGGGTTCGCTGCCTTCGGGGACCGTCCCTGCCCCACCCTGGGGTGTGGGGAGATGGGCTTGAGGAGGAGGGGAGGGGGGCAGGTCTCATAGACGAAGCCAGACGTGGCCACCAGGCAGGTCCTACCAGGGTTTGGGCAAAGCGTCTCGCTAAAGGCATCTCCGAGTAGGTAAGGCAAAAGGAATTCAGTTCACTTCGTCCCGGGGGGGTGGGCAGCTCGGTTTTGGGGGTGTCCCCGTTGCTCCCACAGACACACGCGCTCCGGGTACCCCGAGAAGTGTCGCTTACAGACGAGACGACGAGAGGAGCGGCCACCCCCGGAGCCCAAATCCGGGAGGGAGCCGTGTCGTGGGGATGGTGCCGTGGGATGCTGCGGTGGAGCGGGGATGGGGCGGAGAATGGCCCCCATGGCTGCACCCAGGCTGCCCTTGACCCTGGTGGGACCAACCCTGGTGGGATCAACCCTGGTGCAATTGACTCTGGTGGGACAGACCCTGGTGGAACTGACCCTGATGGGATCAACCCCGGTGCGATCAACTGTGGTGGGATCAACCCTGGTAGGACCAACCCCAGAGGGACCAACCCTGGTGGGACCGACCTTGGTGGGACAGACCCTGGTGGGACTGGCCCTGATGGGATCAACCCCGGTGCGATCAACTGTGGTGGGATCAACCCTGGTAGGACCAACCCCAGAGGGACCAACCCTGGTGGGACCGACCTTGGTAGGACAGATCCTGGTGGGACTGACCCTGGTGGAACCAACCCTAGTGGGACTGAAGCTGGTGGGACCAACACCAGTAGGACCAACCCTGGTGGGACAGACCCCCGTGAAATGAACCCTGGTGGGTCAGACCCTGGTGGAACCAACCCTAGTGGGATCAAACCCAATGGCACCAACCCTGGTGGAGCCAACCCTGGTGGACCAACCCTGGTGGGTCAGACCCTGGTGGAACCAACCCTAGTGGGATCAAACCCAATGGCACCAACCCTGGTGGAGCCAACCCTGGTGGATCAACCCTGGTGGGACTGAGCCTGGTGGAACCAAATGTGGTGGGACAGGCCCTGGTGGAACCAACTCCAGTTGGTAACCCAATGGCACCAACCCTGGTGGAGCCAACCCTGGTGGATCAACCCTGGTGGGACTGAGCCTGGTGGAACCAACTCCAGTTGGACCAACCCTGCTGGGACCTACCCTGGTGGGATTCAGCAGAGCCAGGATTCCACCGTGCCACTTCCATCACCTTCCCCTGCCATGGTGGTGCTCACCAGGGCTCACCCTGCCAAGCTCATGGGTGTTTTGGGTGGCTTTTGTTGGAGTGACGAAGACCTGGGTTGCCCACAGCTGGAGGGACCCTTGGGGACTGGTTGAACAGAGCCTTCAGGGCTGAGGAGGTCCACACATTTTGGGTTGTGGGACTGGAGGGGCCACAGGGAGGCCAGCAGTGTCCATGGATGGTCATTGGTAGGGCAGGAGGGACCACAGGTGTCCATCATCATCCATGCATGATAGTCTGTAGGATCAGAGGGACCATGGGAGGATGGCAGGGTCCATGCATGGTCATTGGTAGGGCAGGAGGGACCACAGGTGTCCATCATCATCCATGCATGATAGTCTGTAGGATCAGAGGGACCATGGGAGGATGGCAGGGTCCATGCATGGTCATTGGTAGGGCAGGAGGGACCACAGGTGTCCATCATCATCCATGCATGATAGTCTGTAGGATCAGAGGGACCATGGGAGGATGGCAGGGTCCATGCATGGTCATTGGTAGGGCAGGAGGGACCACAGGTGTCCATCATCATCCATGCATGATAGTCTGTAGGATCAGAGGGACCATGGGAGGATGGCAGGGTCCATGCATGGTCATTGGTAGGGCAGGAGGGACCACAGGTGTCCATCATCATCCATGCATGATAGTCTGTAGGATCAGAGGGACCATGGGAGGATGGCAGGGTCCATGCATGGTCATTGGTAGGGCAGGAAGGACCACAGGAGGCCATCACTGTCCATGCATGGTGGTCTGTAGGATCAGAGGGACCATGGCAGGATGGCAGGGTCCATGCATGGTCATTGGTAGGGCAGAAGGGACAAGAGGAGGCCATCACCATCCATGCATGGTGGTCTGTAGGATCAGAGGGATCACAGGAGGCCATCACTGTCCATGCATGGTGGTCTGTAGGATCAGAGGGACCATGGGAGATGGCAGGGTCCATGTATGGTCTGTAGGATCCCAGAGACCATGGGAGGATGGCAGGTGGCAGGGTCCATGCACAGTGGTTGGTAGGACAGGAGGGACCACAAGCGACCATCGCTATCCATGCATGGTGGTCAGTAGGACCAGAGAGACCACAAGAGGCCATCACTGTCCATGCATGGTGGTCTGCGGGACCAGAGGGACCATGGGAGGATGACAGGGTCCATGCGCAGCAATCGGCAGGGCAGGAGGGATGGTGGGAAACCAGTAGGGTCCGTGTGTGGCCAGAGGGACTGTGGGGAGACCAGCAGGATCCATGCATGGTGCTCAGTAGGAATGGAGGGACCTCAGGAGGCCATCACTGTCCATGCATGGTGGTCTGCAGGACCAGAGGGTCCACAGGAGGATGGTAGGGTCCATGCATGGTATTTGATGGGACCAGAACCAGAAGGACCCCAAAAGACCATCAGGGTCCATGCGTGGTGGTCTGCAGGACTAGAGGGACCACAGGAGACCATCAGGGTCCATGCATGGTGGTCTGTAGGACTAGAGGGACCACAGGAGACCATCAGAGTCCATGCGTGGTGGTCTGCAGGACTAGAGGGACCACAGGAGACCATCAGGGTCCGTGCGTGGTGGTCTGTAGGACTAGAGGGACCACAGGAGACCATCAGGGTCCATGCATGGTGGTCTGTAGGACCAGAGGGGCTATGGGACACTGGTGGGGTCCATGCATGGCAGCCAGTAGGACTGGAGGGACCACAAAGAGACCATCAGGGACCATGAATGGTGGCCTGCAGGACCAGAGGGACCATGATGGTCAGCATGGCAGGAGTTGTGAAGCCACCATGAGCTGGGGACGCTCATGGAGATGTTGGTCACCGGTGTGGCCGCTGGCAGAGACAGGGCTCCTGGGTGGACTGAGCCAGAGGAACACCCACGTGCTGGGGAGACGGTGGGGACACGGTGGGGACCAGACCCCCTGCAGTGTCCCTATGGGAATGCAGCCCCCCCCAGTAGGTGCAAACCAGGAGAAACCTCTTCTCCATCCCAGCTTTGGCACGTGTGTAGCCCTTGCAGGGGACATGGCTGTGTGGGACAGGGCCTGGTGAGGGCCACGAGTCCTTCCATGAGTCTGGAGGTCCTGGGGGGGCTTCTAAGCCAATGGCTGCTGGGCAGGAGCTGGTTCTCCAGCAGGGGGTGGGGGCAGTCTGGTGGGACCCCTCAGGAGATGTAGGTAGAACATCCCCATGGCCATGGCCACCCAGCTCTGGTGGCTTCTTTGGCTTCTCCAGCCAGAGTCACCTCCCGTGGGCCTGGTCCTGACCCCTCTGTCCCACCTCCATCAGCACTCCCACTGCTGTCCCCCTCCATCCCACAGACCCCCCCCCAGCCCCATTTCAGAGAAGTTGGGGGGACACACAACCCTTCTGGGGGTGCTTCCACCAAGGACATCGTCCCCCATTGTCACCCCGTTGGGGACAGGACCTACAGCCTTAAGGCAAT